TCATGCATATACAATGAGCTTCTAATGTGCTCCTTTGTCAGGTTTTTTCTGCTACTCTTAAAAGTTAAACATGTATTTAGTTTTATTCACTCCAGGGGGAGGCTATTCATTCATTTGATCAAAATTTTTGGACTCTTTGTGGAGTAATTTATAGAAAATCAAAGGATTGCCAAAGACCCCTTGAGAGTAAGTGGCAGACATAATCTCCACTTATACCACTGAAAGACGTGTCCATGAGGTATTCTCGATAGGAAGCTAGTAGTAGACATAATCCTCACTAGAAGAACCCCTTGAGGGTAGGTCCCATACAAAACCTACACTTATATCCCTAAAAGACGTGCCCATGAAGTTGTCTCGATGTGAAGCTAGTAGTGGACACAATCCTTATTAGAAAGACCCATTGAGGGCAAGTGACAGACATAGTCTCCACTTGTACCGTTGGAAGACATGTCCATGAGTTAATATTGAGGGTAGCTACTAGTGGACACAGTTCTCATTAAAAGATCCTAGAGGGCAAGTGAGAGATTTAGTTACTACTTATACCCTTGGAAGGCATGCCTATGAACACTGATAGAAAGCTAATAGTGGACTCTATCTTCATTAGAAAGACCTCATGAGGGCAAATGCCATACATAGTCTCCAATTATACCCCTAGAATGCATGTCCATGAGGTAGTCTCGATGTGAAGTAGTGGGCAAAATCCTGACTAAAAAGGTCCATTTAACGCAAGATGGGAAATTAGTAGTGGACGCAATATTCACTAGAAAAATCTCTTGGAGGCAAGTAACAAACATATTCTCCACTTACAATCCTGAAAAAACATGCCCATGAGATAGTTTCGATGGGAATCTATTAATGGACAAAATTCTCACTAGAAAAACTCATTGAATGCAAATAACATATAATCTCCACTTATGCCCCAACAATTGGGTAGGTGACAACAGCTTGAATTTGAGATATACAACAATTGTCTGAATTTGAGTAGGCAATTTTAACCTCAATATGAGCAAGCAACAACAGCCTCAAGATGAGTAGGCAACAACAGCCTCTATATGAGCAGCCAACAACAGTCTTGGTATGGGAAGACAACAACAACTTTGACATGAGTAGGCAATATCGGCCTAAAGAAATTAGGAAATCATTTCATATAGACTAGATAACTACAGTTTGTGTAGGTGTATGGCTTCTTGTTCCCTCAAAAGAGAGATTTGCAGTTGAAATTTTTTGAGAAAAATATGAAAATAATCAAATTTTGGAGGTTAGCTCAAGAAGCAAACATGTGTGCACACAAGCGAGGGCACGCACTCCACTGAACTCAAGCGCAGCACAAAATTGCTCCTTTGCACGCATGAGCACACCCAAGCTCGTGTGACTATGCAAATACGTGCATACACCCATGCACGTATGCGCGCGCTCAGATGCATTTGCACACGCTAGCGTGCCAACTCGCGCTACACCCTTGCTCAAGCTCATGATTGCCTGTGGACCCACTACTTTCTCAGGTATATTATTGTGCTCATTTGCTCGCATGCATATATATGTGCACCCGAGTATGTATGTCTGCACGCCGAAACGTCTACCACCATAGAACCGCCATCAAATCACCATCACCCAGCTAGGTTGAGCCACCACCAACATTGACAATGACAAAATGTACAAATATTTTTCTAGAAGTGCATATTTCAATATTTTTTAGTATTCCAGGCACAATGTAGCTTTTTCAAAACTCTATGGAGCATCCGTGAGTAAATTGAGATAATTTGAAATACCAAAGATTTTTACTTCAACGTTCAAATTTCTAGAATATCTAAACCTATGATTGAAACTTTCCTAATGACTTATATTTTCGAATGATATAAGCACCAACATTAAAAAATATCACGGCAACTAATGCGTTGTCAATTAATTTTTATGATTAAGCACGAATCTTGATGCATTTTTGTAAGAAATCTTTCGAATTCAAATTCATGATCATTCAAGCTCTGATTTCAACAAAATTATAATCAAACTAAGTGTGTTCACAAGACTAACCCAATGACTCTAAAATTGGGTTCTAATCAAAAGGAAGCTTTAGAATAGACTCCAAATTGAACAAATTTATAGTCGAATGAAGTATCTCGACTCGAGGAATTCAGTGTGTAAGATCACTTAATTATGAGATCATTAAAACGCTCAGATGCTTAACAATTGCATATGATCAAGTGGCACTAGTATGGACCATTTGATCAAGTGGTTAGAGAAGTTATGTACGAAGACCAAAATGCTCCTCCCCACAAAGCTATAAATAGGCCCCTTCCCTTCACTTGGAGGGGAAACAAAAGATAAGAATGAGAAGTGAAATTCCAAAGCGTGTTCTAGAGAAAAGACCCGAGGAATAAACACCATTCTCCTTAGCTACCGGCCACCATCGACCACCGGCCACTATCACCGCCTGACATCACCAGCCACTATTTGCAACAATTATAGCCAGACTATGACTTCAATTAAATTTCCTCATTTGTATTTTTTGAGTTATATAAAGATGAGCATAATTTTTATCGGAAGATTCTAACTCCCTATCTTGAGAAAAGGTTGTGCCTCTATAATTACAAACAAATAGTGAACTACATTGATTGGGCTAAAGCGCCGTTTAGGATTTTTTCATGTTAAAATTCTGATATCTCTATTCATTAAATTTTCTTATATTTAAACGATAAATCACTAATGTATTATTATGAATTTTTCCGCAATGAACAATTAATATTATTATAATTTAACCTTCGAATTTTTAACACAAACTGATTGATCTAAAAAATTATTTATCAATATTATTATAATTTAACGCTCATAATTTAAAATAAATAAAATTTATTTAATTGCTTATTACCTGAAGAAAGGAAGCAGTACTAAAAACATGTGAGCCGCCCATCAGTCAAATTTCCATCTAACCCGTCCGTCTTCTTCTGCCGCCTCATCTCCGAGCAGTTAATGGATTCCTACAAGTAAAAGAAATATAAGACGCCACCCACCATAAAGCCCACTGACACGTAACGCGAGCGGGAGCAGTTTCAGTAGAAAGCTTTCCGAAAGTAGAGGCAAGAAGAAGACGGAAAGCCCTAATTTCATCTCAATGGCAAGCGCCGAAACATTGAAGGCGGAGTGGGTCTTCACCGATCAATACGTCGAGAAGCGGCGCCTATTCCTGCAAAGCTATCACTTATCGCGGAAACGCAGCGCGGCCGACCGGCTTCTGACTTCGGCCGTGCGCGTGCGGCGGCTCCTCTGTCTGCGTCTGCGAGCGGCGAGCCGCTCGCCGCGTGATGCGCTTGCTCTGCTCCCTGCTTCGCTCGGCTTGGCTTCGCCGCAGGTTTCATCGAATCGCCTCATACTGTTAGGAAGAAGACGATTGTTTGCTTGTGTAACTGAACGAGAGGGAAACAGATGAAGACGGTAGTACTGATTAAAGCAATCTTGTTTTTTTTTATTAGCCTCTTGGATGAAACCGAAGCCATCTGTGGGCCAAAAATTGGGTTTTGCAATTAAGGAAAGTTGTATCGCATGAATTTTGAAGAGATTATTATACTTCTTTTGGGTCTAGTTTGGATGAATGTCTTCTCTGTTTCAGTTTGAATGGAGCTTGGTTGCTTGAGATTGAAACCTTCTCTTTCTCGCTTTGCAGAAATTATTGGTTGTGGATTATTGGAAATTATAGTTGCAACTGCTTGTAATTATCGAAAAGTTGTTAGACAGCATATCATCTTTTACATACTAAGTTAATTTGACATTTCTATGTCAGGACTTGAGAAGTTCCTTGTATCTTTTGTTTTTGTTTTTGTTTTTTTTGTATTTTGTTTTTTGTTTTTGGATCAGTTGTTTCGATTATGCTCACTTTCAGTTTTCACCTTAAGGAGAATAAACTTTTGGGCTGTGGCAGCGCTGCGTATTCAGAGGGTATTGGGGGGGTTATAGTTGGGTTATAGAGATGTTACAGAGAGTATAACGTGGATATAACCCCCAATACTCAGATGCACGCAGGGCTGCATACGTCTTACATACACAAATTTTCCTCGTGATTGAAATTAAAATGGAGCAAAATGGTCTCATTTAATTAATTAATCGGAGGAAATGTAGGGCAAATTATACACGTAAGCTTTGTAACGATTTTTCAACAGAACATTATCTCTTCGGTTTATGCCTATTTAAAAAACTGGAAGTTTTAGTTTTATAAATGAAGAAAAAGTGTACGCCACGAGTATGAGAGACTTATTGTATAATTTTGGGCCCATCAGTCTGAATCATTAAAACTGGATGCTTACTGGGAAGTGAGGGAGACCTAAACCTGGCATTTCAAGACATGGTAAGATTGAAATAAATTATCAATGTTTCGGTTTCATGTAAAAATAAAAATAATAAATCTCGCCTTATCACTAAAAAAATATAATCATTGTGTCATATGCGGCGGCAGTTTTGTATTTATATAGAACCAAAAGCTCTGCAGATAATTCAAGGCCGAAAAACATATTTAATATCAATCATGAGTTGATCAGACAAAAAGGTCTAGCTCGAGGGATTCTATACCAGGTCTGCTATAATTTATTGGACGTGAATGATCTTATGAATTGGACTAGAAGAGGAGCAAATGTGTTCCAAGACTACAGGAATGGCACCAATGATTTGCACAGATTGCTATGATCCTGGCAGATGTTTTAAGATTAATGCTGATTTGATGGATCGGTTCTATGTGATATATATATATCGCCAAAAATCATTAAGCAAAACTATTGTGACGCCAATATTTTTTGTAGAATCAATTTTTATCCCCTCATGTATGTCATTATGTCATACATACATAATGAGGATGATATTAATATATAATAAATTAAATTTTATATTATATTTAGTGAAAATAATAAAAAAATTGATCAGAATATCACCTGTTTTTCCTGTTTCGATTAAATGCTACTACTATCCTCATTAAAGGCATTAAATAAAAGACATAAAATTGAATGGGGGAAGCTCCCAAATAAACTCATACTTGAAATTTTAATGTTATGGATTTCCAAAATGGGAATGACGTCCTTGGTTCGAATCAATGTCCAAGTAAATAACAACAAAAAAGGAATTTTACAAGTTTACCGGAATGGAAGTCATCAGAATAAAAGACCATGATCCCGAGCAGCATCAGCAAGGGCTTTTACGCGTCCATGATATTGGTACCCACCTCGATCAAAAGCAACTTTTGTGATTCCTTTCTCTAAGCATGACTTAGCGATCGCTTCACCCACCTTCACTGCCACTTCCTAAAAAGCCATTTATGCTTGTGGATCAACCGATTTATTGTAAACAGAAATCATGCTCAGAAAATGATAAAAAATACATAGATTTCATTGAAATAATCCGAATTTTTTAACATCATAAATCCCTCAAATATGAGTGTTGAATCTGGGAATGACCATAAAACACGCCCAAGATATATAGCATTTTATAGGGAGGACTGAGAGAGAGTACAGTTAAGAACGATAAAAGAGAGTCTAGCCTTTATTTATAGCATGAACCCTCTATTTATAGAAATAGACATCAGTGTTACAAATGTAAATATTAGTCAGCTCATCATTGACTTTTCAGAGAGACTTTTTAATAATTACAAAGTTAATCGAATATAATAAGATCGGAGAACTGATTCGATCGATGAGTTCGTTGATCGTCAAGGAAGCCTTGACTCAATCGATATTCAATCTGAACGATGCCTCATGTTGATCATTCTAAGGCCTGATCACTGCCCTTCAAGAAATCTCCTGACATGTTCCACCGATCACCCGAACAACCCTCTATCCATCGTTCAACCCGAAACGTCCATCAACAACTACATTCGATCGGTCATTTCTTTCCCTTGAATCGTTCATCTATCTTGAGATTTGTGCTGATATATTTTATATGTACATATTCAGTTCTCCGATTTTTTTGCTCCTGGAAAACTGCACAACACATTAGGGTAAGAAAATCTTTTTTAACGTGTATGAATGAATTAACATTATTGCATAATCATAGACTTCCCAGAACTTTCGTACTCAGATCATTATAAATAGGCATTGGAGTAAGAAAGGACTGTGTCATTTCCTTTTCTTCTCGTTTCTTTTGCCTTTTGTCATCTACTTTGTGTATGTCACGATGCCTGGTGAGGGAGCACCATCAACCGATGAGAGCACCATCCTCAAAGCCACGAGTGATATGCGAGTTGAGGCTTGCAAACCTGTTGCGAAGCGAAACCAACGAGCAAAGTTTCTGTGGGCGCTGAACTTGGGGTCGCAACTTGCACGAGATGTACGTTGATTGCACGGGATGATCTTCAATGTGTTGCTCGGCTGAAGGCTCCATCAGTGAACGGGGTCCAAACCGATTCGTTGATTGCCAGATCTCCGTCTGCATCCCTTTGTTCGGCAAAGTCTGTAAGGAAGTCTGCAACTGCTTGTGCTTTTATTGTCATCCGGGGGATCTACGAGATGTCGAACTCACTGAGTTTCACAATGCATTTGAGTAGTCTACCGGAGTTTTCGGACTTGGTGAGGACAAACTTTAGTAGATGGTCGGCGATAATTTGCACGAGATGTACTTGAAAATACGGTCATATCTTCATGTTGAGATGACCAAGGCGAATGTCAGTTTCTTCGTTATAGGGTATTGGAGTTCGACTACTTTGAGGCCCCGGTTGGTACAGTACACTAGATGTTGTTTCTCGGGTTCTTCTTTACTGACTGGTCTGCTTAGGGGGG